TCTCTCGTTCCCTTTCTTTCCCTGTGTGTGGGTGTGTGTGTGCAGGCAGTTCACTTCTTAGTACTGGGGGATTGTAGTTTGTAGCATTAGTGGATAGGAGAGTGGGGACGAAGAGGAAGTTGCCATGTTGAGTACATGCGTGTATTTTTTTTTCTCTCTGTGTGTGCTGCATGTGGTGGATGGCGTGTGGATTCTCTTTTTTTTTTTTTTTTCTTTTTACATACTTACTTTTTCATTTTTTCACCCATGTGGTTATTGTCATTATTATTATTTTTGTGGATGTGTTTTTTGTGAACATCGCCTTCTCCTCTCTTGTTTTTTTTTGTTTGTGTGTGTGTGTCTGTGTCCGTGTTCTTGTTGTTTTCAGTTTCCGCGATTGGCGGTGCGGTGCGTGAATTGCGATGCGACATTGACATTGGGGACATGGTGGCAGCGTGTGTGCGTCGGTATGTATGTATGCGTGTGGCTAGTGTGTGTGTGTGCGTGTGTGCGTAGGCATTTGGCACCTTTTGAAGCCTTACGTCCAACTCACGGGTTGTGTGGGATGCATTCTTCCGCGGGTGGGCGGGCAGACCGGGAGAGGGGGAGCGTTGGGGGCGCTGCGATGACTCGCGGGGTGAAAGGGAGGGGGAGAAGAGAGCAGGAACGTGAAGGGGAAAAGAAAAAAAAAGTGGGGGAGGTAGACACGCCACACATGACGAAACACTCAGTGAAACAATGGCGGGGACCACGCATCGGTCTCCGGCGCATGGGTGGTGCCGCCTGTTGGCCTCTGCGGGAGGGAGGGAGCGAGGGGCTGGCGGGCATCTGCGCCCGGCTGCTTTGCAGCTTCTGTTGGTTCAAAATGCCTCTTTTGTGCCGTTTGCTTTTTCCCCCCTTTTTTTACGTCTCTGTTTTCTCCGATTGATCGTAGATAACGCGCGGAAGGACCTCCTTGACGTGTAGTCGTCGGTTGGAGGAATTCAAGGCGGGAAGAGGAAGACCGTGGACGCATTTCTGGACACTCACGCGGCTTCTCCTCGTGGGACAGGAAGATTGCACGCTCATGACAAACGCGACGGCGAGGGAACGCAACAAGGCTGCGGTGCAGCGACTCTTTGCGAGGGGTCGTTCGTCGCCGGCACCGTGGACGTGTCCCCCTGTGCGCTGCGCCGATGGAACGCTCCTACCGGACATGCGACTGAGCAAACAGTGGCAGCTCGCACA